GAATACGAACAGAGCCTGCCGGGTAATTACGACGATATGGCTGGTGACATGTATCATACTTAAAATTGTATTATAAAGATATCACTTTCACACATCCGCGCTTCTCCAACAATTTGCGTTGTTCTCGTGCATTAGTAGAGATAAAGCAAGTTCTAGTTGTAGAAATTGCTCGAAACGTATGGAGTTCCATCATTTCCTCTTAAGCCTCCATAAATGCTAGCTTTAGATTATTGCTGGTCAGCTAAACTAAGCGAGGCTAAGAAAAGATAAGACAATGAAAGTGGTATGATGGTATGAGGCTCGGTAAAGATTCCATTATTGATTTGCCGCGGATGAGACGCAACCCACTGCTAAGACATGTAAGCTGGTTGGAAACTTGGGTCTTCTCCGCGGTGAATCGGACGGGGTACGACTCTCAGCCTGATCATGAGGTCATGATTAGGCCTGGGGAAGTGATGCGGGAACAGATTCCCCAGACCGAGGTTGGTGATAACCCATGGCACCGGTCCGGGGCTTTCGTGTCTTGAAACGTCACTCGATCCTCAGGAACGGCGAGAGCGATCCAGAAGGCCCAGTGAAAGGTCAAGATTAGCGGTGGTTCTGTTTATGGGTAGTCTAGATGATATGACCGCGGCTTGTGTGAAGATACTCGAGGCTGGGCGGTGGACCCACATACCCGGAAATGGTAAGCGACAAGGGCCTATTCCAAATATGATTGGATGTTCGGGAAGCTCTCGAACTGCTGGGCGTAACCGATGACTATCAAACATACATGAGGTGTGTCAATTTATCAGTCGTGCCTCGCGTGACAGGCTTCTCGAATATGTGAAATAAACATTGATACTGTGACGATCTTCTCTAATCCCTCATTCTATGTATCCCCAGAAGGAAATCGATTCCTTAGAACTAGCGTTATTGTGAAGGTACCATATTTTTGTCACCACTGAAGAAACCTCAATTGCGGACAATGTCACCAGTCCCACTCATTACGGTCATCGGGTCCCTCAACATGGACTTGGTGACCTACACTCTGCGTATGCCTGTTGGCGGTGAGACGTTGACAGTCTGCTCCTTGAGAGCAGGCTTTGGCGGCAAAGGCCCAAATCAAGCCATTGCATGCGCCAGGATGTCGCGTCGCAAGAAAGCGAGGTCTTCCATTGGAAGCTCTGGCTCCAGCACGACTGTAGTCAAGATGATCAGTGCTGTGGGTGGCGATGTCTACGGCCAGGCGCTCAAGTCTAGTCTTGAAGAGTTCGGGCTCGACACCTCGGGCATTGAGATCCGGCGAGATAGTAAGACTGGGATAGCGACCATATTGGTGGAAGAAGTTTCGAGCTAAAACAGAATCTTGCTGTCACCGGAGGCGAATCGCACACTATTGCCTGAACATTTCAAAGAATTGGCGCTTCCAGTATCCTCGCTGCTCATCTTACAGCTAGAGATTCCACTGCCAACGGTGCTTCAAATCTTAGAGACTGCAAGGAGGCAGGGAGTCGAGGTCCTTCTAAACCCAGCTCCGTTTCCAGCGCAGGGAATCCCACATGATTACTACCCCGCGATTTCACACTTAGTCCTGAATGAGCCGGAAGCGTCACTGCTCTCGGGTTGTGATGAGTCTGAAGTCGACAATCTCGAAGGCTTGAGCAGAATTGCAAACATTTTGCTGGCGCGTGGTGCGAACACGACAATTATCACGCTAGGTGGTCGAGGTGTCTATTATCTGGACGCACATGGAAAGTCAGGGCTGGTACCTGCGGAGAAAGTCGAGGTTGTTGATACGACGGCTGCTGGTGATACATTTTTTGGCGCGTACGCTTTGCAAGTGGTAAAGCCTGGTTTTGATGTCGAGCAGGCGGTGCGGTGGGCGAACAAGGCTGCTGCGAGGACAGTAGGAAGAGTTGGTGCGGGGGAGAGTATTCCCTAGTTAGATGATCTGGACCAAACATCAGGATATGTAGTGCTGATGTATATGGACTTAATCATTATTAACTTTAAATCACTATACATTCAGGTGTTCTCGAGATTGGTTCTCCGTATCAGTCTCACAAATATAACGAATTGGAACCTTTTCGCCGCCATCTATATACAAAGACGATCCGCAACGCTCCTCCGAAAATACGAATACCTTGCATAGCCATCAACAGAGTCACTTCTAGCGACCATGCTCTTTCACTAGTATTTCTATCAGGAGGGGCATCGCCTACCAAGCCCCACGATGGCCAGCAATATTACAGGCTTTACGCTGCGATATGGAAAAGCTATGAGAGCCTGACGTCGAGCCAACCCAAGTGCTACATTGAAGAAAGAAGAGCGAGAGCCGTGAGCGCGGACTCACAAGCATACGACTTGCGAATACCAAGGCTGGGAGTAGTTGTTTGAGGGCATATATGAGCATAGGATTACGCATGTTCCTGAGATTAGAAGTACTTGTTTCTTATGTCGATTATGTATTTACATTGAATGTCATTATTCTACAGTAGAGTCTCATTAATTAACAAAACAGAATTAGGAAGATGTCATCGGTGTCCCAAAACGGGTAGACAAATGGCACTATGTGGTGTGTATGTACTCGTATAATAATTCGTCAAATCAAAATTAAAGTATAGAAACACGTGTGTAAATTAGAAATCATCTCCTCCCTATAGCACGTGTGGGTCCGCTACCATGCAGTGCCGATCTTAGATGCCAACAAGATCTAAGACCTTGACGAGCGCACGTGTGACGCTACAAGATACAGAGGAAGTATTTAATATACGTGCGCTTGATCAGCCGTTCATCAAGTAGTTGCTCTATTGTGTTGGATGTCTCTCGTGCTAAGAGACTCACGAATGCCAAATTACACAAATCGATTCCATTGTGACTTTCGATTCAAATTCGTATCCAATGAAGCATTTTAGTCTTTTCCTATTCATCACCGTGGCATCAGCAAAGGCCACGGTGTATTTCATTAGACACGGAGAGAAGCCCGATGATGGTGATGGGCTAAGCGCCCAGGGAGAGCAGCGTGCACAGTGCTTGAGGACTGTTTTTGGTGCGAGCTCGAGCTATAACATCGGTCATATTATGGCCCAAACTCCTCAATCCGGTATGATAGAATTTCATCGACCATAAACATTAACATGCTTCGTGGCCGAGGCTGATAGTCCATTGAAACAGACGGGTCTCAGCAGCGACCTTATGATACTGTCCTACCCCTTGCCGGGGACCTTGGCCTTACAGTAGACACCTCGTGTGAAAGGGATGACTCCGATTGTGTTGCAGATGCAGTGGTGAGCTACACTGGCTCTGGCAACATACTCATATGGTAAGTGTCACATTCCGCTTTTCGCTGTTTACACACGCTAAGTTGTCTCTAGCTGGGAGCACAAGAGACTCAACAATCTTGCCGAAGCTTTGGGAGCCGATGATGTTAATAACTATCCAGATGACAGCTATGATCTGATCTGGACTGACCCCTACAGTTATACTGAGATCACAAGTGTGACATCCGAGAGTTGCTCAGGACTGGATGATTGAGATCTCAGATAGAACTTCGTAGTCGCCTCATCAGCGTTGCTTCCAGTACGCATAGTGCTATCTAGACTTTTCACGAATTCTTTACTGTCACCAACATAGATATATTAATAAATTTCCAAGTCTCCCAGTGAGAACATCATAATGTCTTTACAAACCGTATGTGTCACATTTCGAATCTAATAATCTATCCGTGCCGAATAACCCAGCTCTAACCAACTCATCTTATCCTAAACATGAGCGCAAATCATAAGAGCAATTACATGCCTATGCCGGCAACAATCTAGATTCTAGTAGCCTAGATTAGAATGAGAGCAAGTGTAGCTGACTTCAAGATTACCTCAATATATGCATACTTCAATTGAAGATTTCGAGTTCAGTACCTTTCTACATCTTCAATTAGTTAATCAAGAAGAGTCGAGGACTTAGACTGGTGACAGAAGAAATACTAGAACGAGTAACGTCTCAAGTTAGTCGCTTACTTCTTATTTCTTGAAAAGGCCGCAAATGATCATTATAAGATTCTGTTCCCATTGTCAACACCTGAAAAGCTACATTGGGCAAGGGGGTACTCGTGGCTCCAACTCGTTGATCGCTTCATGCTTGCCACTCTAATCACTCACAATGTGTGCCCTACCAAGATGTTTAGACAATATGAACTAAGGGCATGATGACCCTAATCTTTCGAACTCACAAGGTTATCTAGATTGCCTAGAAGGCTAGACACGTGTCTGCAAAATCTCACACCTCCGGAGGCACCTCTTTGTCAATCGTCCTACTCTAGCTCCATTTTTTTGAGCATTGCGAAAGAACTGTCATTACATCACTGACAGGAGTCAATCCTTACCCGAAGAGTGGCGATCCTGGGATGCGGGGATATAACGGCACTGAGCATCGGGATGTGGGGAAGGGGCTTGCCTCTTTCAAGATAACTGCCCCGAAGACACCACCAATTCTTCTGCGGAGAACCTTGGATCAAGCAAATAGGCTTTCAGTAGACACAGAACCCCAAGCCTCCGGTTTAGGTCCAAATCGCTGATTTGACAATAACCCCTGGCCAGACATGCCTTATTTCATGTGGCAGGAGGACTAGCCAGTGACGACATGGTTCTCTTTACCTCCCAGGTATCTATGATCGGTGCACTTGCTCACTTGGAAGATCATCGCCATGCCTGAATATCTGTCGCATGTTTGAACTGCCGCCCGCTTGAAAAGCCTTCCAAGACAACTCCTCTTCTTGGCCTGTCACTGGCTAGGGCAGACATTGAACGTGTAAGGCTTAATTAAGCTGAGATCCGTTCTTGTAGGAACCAGGGTCTTGGAATCGCACCTGCATTTAAATTTGACTACTCCCTTCTTGCCCTTGATTTCCATTACTTGGTCCACTTCAAGGAGCCGTCTCATTCAACGGGGGTAACGCAGCCCTACGCAACTTTCAACTACAATTACCATATCAACTTGGTCCACGCTTCACAGAACTCATCATCATGGATGAGAATTTAGACGAGAAGGCGATCCACGAGATCGAGGAGGTACTGGGAACAAAAATATATCCTGGAACAGAGATCATGAAAGATGTCGGCACACATCACTTTGTGAAGAGCCATCACAAGTCTGTGCTCATCCCACAACCATCTGACGACCCCCAAGATCCTCTAAATTGGTCTCCTTTTTGGAAAATTGCCACCATCTTCAGTTCTACGGCTCTTTCATTCAGCTTGAACCTAGGACCTCTGGCTCTTGCACCTATGTTCGAGGCGTACATCGAGGAGTGGGGTCGAAGTCTCGCAGACGTCGTCCAATTTACCGGTGTAGCCATTCTGGTGCTTGGATTCAGTAATTTCATATGGGTTCCTATGTCGGTATGCTTCGGTCGCCGTCCGGTCGCTATCTTGAGTATACTCATTTGTGCATGCTCATCTATTTGGAGAGCAAGAGCCACGAGCTACAATTCGTTTATGGGAGCCTCAATCCTTAATGGCCTGGCTGCTGGTCCTTGTGAGACTCTCATGCCTCAAGTTATTGCCGATGTTATTTTTCTGCACGATCGAGGAAAATACCAGACGTTGTATTTCTCTATGTACTTTATCTCCCTGATGGTAAATGCCCTGCCTTTCCCGAAGATAGAACTATGGCTAATCTCTATAGGTTGGTCCAATCATTTCAGGAGCGATGGCACAGCATACAGGCTGGCGTAGCTTCTGGTGGTTCAACACTGGACTACTACTATTCACCCTAGTAGTCAACCTATTTTTCTTCCCGGAAACACGATATCGTCGAGCGTGGGAAACGAATGAAGCTTTACGACCACCTCCGGTTGCCAACACTAATGGGGGTGTACTGAATGGAGGTGACGAGTCATCCGAAAAGAACATCGATCCCCGTGATCACGTTTCTCACAATGAAGGTGAGCCAGTCGACCGTACAACTACACAGCAAACTGGGGTGGACGCGGAAGCTGGCAATAGCGACAAGCTAGCCCCAACCGAGACACACGTTGACCCAGCCCTGGGCAAGGGGAAACCTGGAAAGAAGCAGTTTCTCCCTGTCCAGGGTTACGAGGGCAATCTCTTCCGCGAGCTATGGCTACCATTCTATCTTCATCTCTACCCGATTGTAGAATTTGCGGCCTTTGTCGTGTCGTGGTCAGCCAGTGGATTCCTTGTCGTCAACTTGTCGCAGACACAGGCTTTTGCAGCACCACCATACGACTACAAGTCGCAGACGATCGGTTTATTCAATATTGCGGTGCTTATCGGTGGTCTGATCGGTCTATTCACCTGTGGACCGTTGTCAGATTGGGTAGCAGCTCACCTGACCGCTCGTAACAACGGGGTGCGCGAGCCTGAGATGCGTCTCCTCGCTATGATTCCTTATGTGATAATCATGATCTTCGGAAGCATCATCACCGCTGTTGGATATGACCATCACTGGCCCTGGCAGGCCATTGTGGTCCTTGGATATGCCTCCCTCGGAATGCAGGTGTCTGCGTTGCCATCCATTGCTTCAACATATGCCATCGACAGTTATAAGCCTATAACCGGGTCGATGTTTGTTACCATTACGATGTAAGTCGCGATTGGGAAGGCTTTGTCGTTTGTTGCTAATATAATGGCTCGTAGTAACAAGAATGTCTGGGGATATGGTGTCAGGTTAGTACCAATATGCGTTGATTTGGCATTCTAGGATAGGAACTGACCTTGATCATAGCAAATTCATCACGCCATGGGCTGAAAAGAATGGGTTCATACCACCCATCCTCGTCAATATGGCCTTGACCACCATCTTCTGTCTTTGCGGGATCATTTTTTGGTTCTACGGAAAGAGATTCAGGGGCATCACAAAGGATTCATTTGTTCACAGGCTGTAAGCGGCCTTCAGGCAAAGGAGAGGTGAAGAATGAATGATATCAATGGTTGAGAGTGCAAATTGAAAGACTGGGAGATCAGTCTGCGACGGTCATGCAGGAGAGGTGGTGTTAAGCTCGAATTTAATGTCATACTTCTACCTAAACATCCATAATAGTGCAATAAATTGTGTAATCAGTAGACCTGTACTACTAGCTAGAGTCGAAGCGTTGGCGAGACACCAACTGAGATTTGGGAGCAAGTCACATACTTGCAATAGCATGCGCCAGAAGGGGGAGGTCGGGAGCCCTGCTGAATCCTCTTTGAAAAGAGGCTCCAGCGACTCGAAGCGAATGCTCATCCAGTGACCTATTGGCGTAATACAAACTTGAGGCATGTGCCAGTATTCAACGATCTGGTTTAGATTTTGGGGTATTAGCAGCCCGCGTGAAGATGTACCAAGCGGAATGGCAACGCGGGAGCCAGCACTCCGGGGTCAACAAACGGTCGGCTCAGGGGGCGTGGCCAGGCGCTTCGTATTACATCGACAGTGAGAACTAGATACATCCGGATATGGCTGATTCGATGCCACAAAAGCATGCAACCTTGTAGCATAAAGATTGTCAATCTTTGCACATTGCCCTCTTGGCATGAATGGCTGTCCTCGCAGGCAAGGAAGGGTGGCATGTCGCCACGTACGACAGCAATAACTAGAATGCCTCGTGTGAATCATACCAGGTCTCCCGTGAGGCCGCGTTGATCCTTTCTTAGGCATCAAGACATTACATCTGGTGGTCAGTTTGGCTGAATGACTGAGGAGTTGGTTCTTCAAATCTCTCAGCCGATTCCGAACAAACCAACAGAGCATCACGAGCCACAAGACATTTGCAGAACGAATCCATCATGTGAGCGACCTATCACACCGCATCCGAACCAACTTGAACCCGGTAAAAGACAACTTCTCCGCCATGCGTGGCAATCCTTCATCTTCCGCTGCAGGCCACGGCCAAAGGTCGGCTATCGCTTGCTAGCGCAACAGAGAGCAATCAGGAAGAAAAGCCCCGACGTAGACACGCAGCAGAGGGGAACGATTTGACGAGACGGCGTCGTTGAGGACTTCCACAAGCCGACACAGCCGTGCCGCCCAGGCGCGACTTCTGCGCGATGGATCAGACGCAGAGAGATTAACGCAATCTAAGCGTCGGATGCGCAAGCTGACGCTGCCGATCGCGGCTAATGGGATAGATGAGGAAGGCGAGGAGAGCAGAAGGAATGCGCCTTGCAGGAAGAAGAAGGTTGTCAGACACTCGGTGCTGTTGTCGAACCGTTTTGATGAGAGGCTGCCACCACTTCCACATGGTGGAGCTTGTTAGTGTCTTCGGAAGCATGGAGATGCGCTGTAAGCGCCAACATGGAGACAGCATCGAAGGGCGTTTGGACGGGCTTGCGCACGCCGGCACGTTTGGCCGATTTGCGCGGCCACTGAGAGACGCGGCCTAAATGAATTATTGATTGAGGTGCAGTAATGGACTGACTCCAAGGTTCTGACAGCATGAGACTATCGGTTGGTGGACATGAGATGAGTTACCTTTCTGCAGGAAGTGGCTTGTGTAGGTAGGGTAGCACGGCAAGCATTACCGCTTCAAGATGCGTTTCCGTTTGGAGAGCGTAGGAACGGTCTGATGACAGGATCTCAGAATACTCTCCGCTCATCCTTAATTGAGCTATAACGCGTTACGGTATCGGACAGGCGAGTGGGCTTCTGTATTGCTGTGAACGAACTGTTGGTTAGTTGGTGCACTCATAGAAACCCATCCGATACCTTGGACCTGGACATGGCTTCTTAGCAGTCCTAACATCCTGCGTCGATTCATATCTCTTTTCGGACTTAAAGTGCAAGGCCTAGAAGAATGGAGACTCTCTCACAAATGTTCTAGACTAATGGCGCGGGGAATTTGGAATCGGAATAGAAGCCGAACTTGCCTTGAGGTGTTGGAGTGAACAGGCCATTGACTCAGATCTCCTTGGATGCCTTTTGAACCATGCAGGATACACAAGGTATCGCATAGTCTAGTCTTTTGTATTGGGAAGGTAGTGTCCATCACAATGCCAGCCCGCGTTTCTCAATGCTTGCAAGAGCGTGAGATTCTGGTCCACGGCGCAGGATACCTGTAGTTAGTTAGCAACACCCGAGAAATTGGAGGAGGATGCGACAGTTGCTGCATTGAATCAATGATCGCCCTGCTGCTTCCTGATTCATGCCTACAGCTATCTTCAATGGTGCCTCTATCCATGGCATTGGGATCGTAAACCTGGATCGACCAAAACGACTCTGTTACCTTAGAACCTCTCCCTAGCAGACAAGGTGGTGAGGGCGGCGTAGGGGGCTTGGACACTTAGCCGAATCCTCCTTTCTTCGACCTGAATTCGTCGCCGGCTCCTAATGATCACGGGACTTCGTCAATTCCCAAAGCAGTGAACCCAGGCGGAGAACTTCACCACAGGGTCGGGATGCATGACCGGGCTACCTTGCCCATAGTCAAAGACCTTAGGATGTTGGTTATGTTGATCTCTAATGGCCGTGCGCGCAGCAAAAGTTCAAACCCATTTTCTGCAATAACACCGAGCCCAGCTGGCCAGGGGCTCGCGTGGTTAGTGCTCTCCAGGGCTCCAGGCACATCAAACAGACGAACAGACTTGAAACCAAACATTTTGTGGACCTGATCTCCTATTGAGGTGACATTTTCACTCTGTTCAGCGCACGGGGATTCCCTCTTCCTTGCCTTCGCTTCGCTCATCGCAGAATATACGAGTCCTGCGAGAGGCGAGCTCGGAGTGGAATGCGACCTGGAGAGTTCATAATTACACGATAGCGTCATTTCGGTCGGCCACGGAACATACCGTTACCTGCCATGCAGACCTGGGACACGGAGAAGATCGTCTCAGGCCAACCCGGACAAGACTAAATTGCACAAACTGGGAGGATTTGCTTGACCGTGTCCAGAGACATGGGGTTCGGAAGACCTTTTTGGCAAGGTGTTTGCCTCTTTGCCACATGGCACGATTAAGTCAACTCGATCAAATATCATGGTGTCCGTTGGCGAAACTGGTAGAAATACAGACAACATGCGTCTAATCACATTGAACCCGCCCTCCTAATGGGCCACATTTTACAATGTCCAGTAACATTAGGTAAGTTGGGAAGTGTCCTAGGAGTTTGGGTCAGATCCCTGCGACTGATTGTTATTATAGACGCATCCAACGCAGTCAGATCTTTGTTGATAAGCCTACAATCTATTTTAGCGAGAGGTTGCTGCCTCTCCCACCCATGGCTATGGGTCCCAGCAAGATGAAGAGCCTACGCCTGACTACCACGACTTCTATGCACACGTGTAAACCCATACGAAGCATTGGGGGTTGTGTTTGTAGTGTATACAGCGACTCAATAGAAAAGCCAGTCACCTAACGGTGGCATGGCTTATGAAAGCATCAAACGGCTGTCCGAGAATGGATAGCCGCCGTCCATTTATTCAGCCACCTCAGATCTATGTATAAAACGGATGCCGGCCATCATTACTAAATGGTTGGCTATTATTGCACCCTCCGGTTCTGGGCATTGTTGCGGCTCGTCCGCCTGATGGGAAGCCAGGGGCGTGGCGGGAGCACACCAGATTTCGGAATATTGTGCACATGGAGCACAAGTAGCCCGATTAGGAGTTTGATGTGCCGGGAATCCGTGATAGCCTTATTCATTGCAACTCGTGGGCCGAGAGGCAGTGCGGCAATAAGCTATGATCGTGCACAAGATGGTATCCGTGCTTCGATTGCGCTGGTGGGGGAGGACTTCTGTAAAGACTGGCGGATCAGACTCCGTACACTACAATCCTGGCGAGAATCAAATATCTGAGACGCTGACACAAAGTCTCATCCATCATCCCCACGATGTCTACTGCGACACAGACCAACAGGCAAGGTATTAGTCTGTGAGAGTATACGACAATTCTCAGAGCCATGAGGTGCGTCATGGTGAGACCCTACAGGCGTCGGGGTTAAATTGAGGGCGCATTGGAAAGCGCCCCAGACTTGGCTTTATCCAGGGGCTCAAGCTGTACCAGATCAGGCAACGTCTCGAAAGTCAGTGCGACAGGCAGGGTGAAGCGAGCAAACGAAACAGACTTCAGACGAAGCCAACAACTCCGTATGCAAGCTTAGCCGGGTACTCTTACCAAAACCCCCCAAACCCCTATGGAGTGCTGCACCGAAAGGATGCATCGTGAAATGAGTTTCTGTCTTTGCTTCAATACGGAGGAATTGCAAAGACACCATTGATCACTAGTTGGACTCGCAGAGGGAAAATGCAACCTCTCAGACCTAGTGACCGGAAAGAAGCAAGGAAACAGACCACCCACCGTGCCGCCAAATTTAGATTAAAGAGGAGGGGGGGAGGGACCGGCTAACCAGCCATTCATAGGGAAGACGCCCGTGATCCCTGTCCAGTCCATCTCCGCCCGTACTCAGACCGTCTTAATGTGCGTTTTAAGGACAGGGTGCTAAGCGGCCCAACAGTTATTCTACCCTGAAGGGGCTTAGGAGGCCAGTATTCTCTGCCGGTGGACTAATAGGAGGCGCAATTAGCTTGCTGACTTAGACGCGACTTTTCCAGAAAATTGGCGTCCCTGTGGAGAGAAAACGGAAACGAACTGCCCGTCCCGTCCGACTCCACGGGCATTGGGAACGATCTGGTGAAGGACGGAAAGCAGGGCAATCCACATAGATTTAGGTTCTGTCCTGACATTGAGGAAGAGAACCCATCAATCTATCGGCAACCAGTATGATTCAAGTCATGGGTTGCATTTCTTCATCGATTAGCACAGGCGGTGCGTTTGTTCCCCAGCCTCCGTTTTCCTCAGCCTCTCGCAGGTGCACCATCGTGGAGTGAGCACGCGTGGTGTGTTCTTCTGGTAGTGTTGTATTTCGAGCAGTGCAACTGAGATCCCGTGCCGCCCCCTACCGTTCAACCTCCTGTTTCTAGTGCCATGCATTCGTGTGTTGCAGACAGGGGAAAGCAAGTGAATCTGGCTCTCCTTACATTGATAGTATTCCCGACGAAACTAGACTTTGCCGTCAAAAGTTGTGTGGAAGCTTAGACCTCTTCTTGCTTCTTCTTCTCCTTCCACCAGGAAGAGAAGGTAGCTCAGCTTGCCACATTCTAGGAAACACCACCATTTTGACGGTGCAGATGCAAGTGCAGGCAGACGAAACAGGAGTCCTGTGCTGGACACCAATGTTCAATTTCGTTGCCATCATCGTAATCCTTGTGAGCATCCCCAGCCTTGAATATGGAGCACGAAAAGTCATGGCGATCTGCCCGACCATCCGTGAGTAGTGTAAACTCAAGGCCAGCGTGAGGCCTGAGCGTTCTAAAACCTACCTTCATCAGGGGGATTCTATGGGGACGGTTTCCACCATGCAACCCTCGCCAGGACCAGGTAACATTTGTGGTTGAACCTAGCAAGGCTGTCGCTTCTTCGAAGATAACTCCCAATGACTCGGGATCGAGACTGCCCGAACGGGATATTTGCAGAGGAAAGAAAAGACCCGAGATGATTATAGAACACTTCGCCGCGCAAGTCGGTACGCTCGATCGATTAAGCAAGCAGTCAACGGTCTAATAAAAGTGGGATCTGACAAGATGGAATATGCTGCTGTGCACCGCATCTGGGGTACCACGTATGGCATATGCAGCCAACGGACATGTCTGTCCGCCGTTAATGTTTGGTGGGATGGAGACGACATCCCATCTGCAGGTGCATGCGTGTAAATGATCGATCAATCAGTCACTTACACGCAGGACGCATGCACACCTACCTGAGCAGAAGCACGGAACGGACGGGTTACGGTGGGTGATCTGAAGAGGCGACCGCCGGTACGCTCACTGAGAGACACTTCACTTTCCCACCCCCCGGATTGCCCGCCATCCATTTTGCATCCCCGACCCCCTTATCATTTAGACGCAGCCATGTCTTAGCCCTGCTTGCTTTCCGACAACCGCTCCCTGCGCCAGGGCCCTTGCTCCCATCCATGTTCATGTTCAGTTCAGGATGGCTAGGGTACCTAAGGTTAGTTGCGGCGTGTGTACGCAGTATTGCACTGCCTCGCGTCGTGCCTCTTTCTCTCTTACTTTCATCCTCCTCCTCTCTCGCGCGCCGAAGGCAGAGAGCAAAGCCAGCTCCCGTTTTGGGCCTACGGTCGACAATTTCGCCTGGCCTCCTCGGCCGCGGCCACCCATCATCCATGCTCAATGTTCCAGTCCGAGTTCCAGTCCCTGCGTGCTGCTGCTTCTGCTGATGCTACTGCGACAGTCCCAATCCTGCGTCTCCGTCTCCCACGCCATGGATGGATCGGGGAGGCGGCGTGGTCTTTCGGTCTCTTCAGTCTAAACCAGGGTCAAGGCACCCTGCGGACAGCACAAGGTACTCTTCCCTAGTCTAGTCTGCCTACTAGACTAGCTACTGCGAGTTCTTCTTTATTAGTACCCTCTCCTCCCATGTGCCTCCTCCGTGAGTGGATACGTATTTCGTGTGTACAAGTAGTCTGGCATCTCGACTCTCGATCCCCCTTCTCCCAAGTGTCCAAGCCATCCTTGCTCTCGGACTACAAAACTCCTCTCTAGCCCTGTCACGACCCTTGGACAAAGAGCTTGTCCTGTCTGTTCGTGTCTCCACTTCAACGGTTCTCATGCTCAGGTTGAGAACGTCTGTTCCCCTCTTCGTTGACTGGCCTTGTCGTCTCCTCCCCGTGGGTGCTCGCAAAGGCAGGATATAAACTCCAGAAGAACCTCCTCTTCTGGCCTCGTCTCGTCTCCTCATCTCCTTCATCAATAAGCTCGTCATTCACAAGACTCGTGTTTTTCTTAGATTTCCCATTTTCTATTTTCACTTTCCAGTGCCATCGACCTTCATCGTGGCCTTCATTTCTCCAACCGCTCAGGAAGCTTTACCAACCAATTTCACTTAAGCGCCGCCCGCCAATATTCCCGTTTTGGGTTTCGTCAGCAGTTACACCTCTCTCCAGCATTTTTTAGATATCTACACGGGACACTCCCAACCTTTTCCAGAAATCCTCTTTTCTACAGCATCGCAGCTAGGCGTCAAGATGGTTCCCAAGACTCTTCTCCTTGTTGCCTCCCTCATGGGAGCGGCGTTGGCTGCCCCTCCGTTCGCCGGTGCCAGACCCTCTAAGCCGTGCAAGCCATCGCAGAGCTCGTCTTCTGCTCTGGCTCCGGCAAGCACCTCCGCTGCCACCTCGGCCGGTACATCTGCTGTCGCTACTCCTACCACCGTTGCAGACCCAGTCGCCACTCCTACTCTTCCCAGCACTGGTGGTGAGTTATGAAGCCTATCTCGGCTCAAAATACGAGCAGAAGAAAGACTGACAGACGCAATATAGCCACCGATCTGCCCAACCCTCCTGAGGGGGTTGTGCTGAAGCACATTGCTGTCGGCCACGGACTGCAGAACTACACGTGCGCCAACACCTCGTCCACGGCCGCCGCCACCGGCGCCCTAGCCGTTCTGTACGACATCACGTCTCTGTACCCCGGCACCGCAGGCACTGGCCTGACCGAGGAGGGCTTCGCCGGCCTCTCGTCGACCGTGCTCTTCTCGCAGACCATCCCCCTGAACCTGGCGGACCCCAGCGCCGCAGACCCGGCGACGCCCGCGCTGCCCGAGGCCTCGTACGGCGCGACGGCCGACCCGTTCCCTGCGCCCGCCGACCTCGTCATCTCCGGCATGGACCCCATCGCCTTCCTGGGCCGCCACTACTTCGACGCCGCCGGCACGCCCACCTTTGACCTGTCCGCCTCCGGCCTCTTCTTCAGCGGCGCCAAGGCCGGCGGCGTCAAGGCCCCCGCCGACGCCGACAAGGGCATCCTGTCCACCGGCGCCGTCGACTGGCTGCAGCTCGGCGACAGCGGCAAGGGCCTCAGCTCCGGCGTCAGCTACGTCTACCGCGTCGTCACGGCCGGCGGTGTTGCCCAGACCTGCGACGTCAGCGGAGCCGGCGCGGGCAGCGTTCCCTACACTGCCCAGTACTGGTTCTTTGGTCCCTCGGAGTAAATTCCCTTTTGGCGACTTTTCTCTCTCTGGAGTAAAAACTTGGGATCACGGCGCGACAAGGGGTGTGTTAGGTGGGATGGGAGGGATCGGGATCTGGTCTACAACGGGAGGCTGAATTGGCTTGAAGAGAAAGAAAATCACACAACCCCAAAAAAATTCGCTTCGCTTTCTGTACAGTTTACCCAGGCTGGCAATGTGTTCGGATATACCCCCTTTCACTCGAGGTCATGGACCCGGTGACTGAGCCAGATGTTTATGTTTGAATGAAGAGGGGAGGGGTGGAAAAGGGGGTGAATCAAAATGCATGGTAGATAGAGTTGGCTACTCAAGGAAGGGACATATGACCGAAAAATAACTCTGGGCATGGGACTTTAGTCTGTAATTTATATGGGAGATATAAAGATCACGATCTTCAATTACTTGTTGTCTTTGGTGTTGTGTAATGTGTGTTCTTGTGGTTTGAAGCATGACTCCATGAGAAGGGGATTTTTATTCCTCAAAAATGTTACCAGTGGCATGACTTGAGCAGCACGTCTGAGAAATGGCTGCAATTTTCAACTAAGAAACGAGATCATTATATCGTATCGCTATCATCGATCGGCAGCGTATACCATCCTCCTGTAACGAAACATAGGCTTTTTCCTCATCCAACTCTTCCCACAGCGGTATTGGAACCACATTCTACAGCTGCAGCTCATTAAGGGGGAGCTGACTTGATGCGACAGCTTTGCTTTCAAGAGAAATCCATCCAGAATAACAACATTGATGCTCAAAGTCAAGCGATATCAGAGTCTGAGCCTTTCTATCTCCTCTCCGATGGCAAGCCAAACATCATAACCAGACGCTTTCCGTGATGAAGCCATCTCACACTTCCCCTCTACCCCAGTACCGCATGCCTTTCCGCCGAGACTCTACCTCGGACGATCAGCACCGAGAGCCAGTTCACCTTCCAGGCCTTGTGGGATGTGGCCCATATACTCCTCTGGTCTGGGGTCTTCCTTTGCCCACTGCTGGCCACCGGTAGGCATTGGCACCTGTGCGCCACCCTGTTGACCAGCACCGCCGTGCTGGTTGGAGCCCGGGACGGTTCGCACAATCTGGCGGAACCGGTAGACCTCCTCGAGGATCATCTTGCGCATCTCACCAACATCGTCGACAACCTCGAAGTCGAAGTTGAAAGTGGTTGGGCAATCAGGCTCGTCACTCGCGTCGTGCCAAATGTGCAAATATGGGTGCTCAAGTGCCTGGTCGACGCTGATGCGGCTCGACGGGTCGAAAGCCAGCATGCGGTCGAGCAGGTCAAGAGCGTCGGGGTTCGCGTTGGGGAACAAGCTGGGGAAGGGCTTCTTGGCCATGAACGGCAGGTTGCGGACATACTCTTGGGCACGTGGGGATCCAATGCGGGACAAGGTCTCCTCGTTGGGAGTGCCGAGGATGTGCAGGATCTGGTTCAGTTGGTCGACATAGTCACGACCCTTGAAGAAAGGTCGGCCGCCGAGAAGTTCAGCCAAGATACAGCCTACCGACCAGACATCGACTGTTAAAGTATAGTGTGAGTCCGGTGGCCATTGTCACGCATGCTGAAGGGTAGCATTACTTACTTGCTTTGGTGTAGCTCTGGAAACTGAGCATAATCTCCGGAGCACGATACCATCTTGTGGCAACATACTCAGTCATGTAGCCGGCATTCTCCTCTGGGTCAACAGAGAAACCACGAGCCAGGCCGAAATCGCAAATCTTCAGCTCACAGTCCGCGTTCACCAACAAGTTACCGGGCTTCAGATCACGATGCAGGACGTTCGCCGAGTGGATGTACTTGAGACCGCAAAGTATCTGATATATGAAGGACTGGAAGTGGGCATCCGTCAAGGGCTGTCCAGAGCGGATGATGGCGGCGAGATCGCACTCCATGAGCTCTACAAAGAAACACATAGTTTAGTTCTGGGCTCTGCATGCTGTCTCGTGACGTAAGACCGTAACCTACCCTCGTACAAATATGTCTCGTTGAAGTTATCGGGCCGAGGAATGTCCATGTCGTACAGGCAGGTAATCTAACATCCATCAGAGTTGTCAGCAAAGCTCTTTCAATGTGGTATCATGCGTGCGATAGTCGATGTAGAGAGGTGGCGGGGTATGTGGGGGGGAGCGTCTCACGTTGCGATGGCCTCGGAAGTGCTGCAGGAGCTTGATTTCGCGCAGGGCGCGCTTGGCGAGAATCTTCTTGCTGAAGACATTGGTAACCTTCTTGATGGCGACGCCTTCGTTGGTCTGGTTGTTGACGGCAGCGCTGCGCGCGGAGGGAGAAGCTGTCAGCAGGGACGCGGCTGAAGCGAGAGATTGACCCCGCCAATATTTTGGAGGTGAGGTGTCTTACCAGACAATGCCGTAAGCTCCTTGGCCGAGCTCCTTGGTAACGGTGTACCTCTCATCGACGATGAAGTCTTGGTTGAAGACCTTGAAAACCTTTCGGCCCTGCAGGTCCGCCATGGTGAGATCCGATGGGTGAAGAGCTCGGGAGATCGATGTGATGTGAGGGGTCGTGGGTGTCGAGGTCGGGTCTAATCTGAGAAGAGTTGGACAAAGCGCTTAACGTTAGTAGTCTGTCTAGCGCAGCGAAGCCCAAGACAAGGACAGATGCAGGCAGCCCAGATCAGAAGCGAGAGGTTCCGGATTCTGAAGTGTGAAGTGCGAGAAGGGAGATGATCAATCAGTCAGGATTCAGGATCAATCGAAAGACAAGCTCGCTGGGAGGGGAGAAGAGCCGGGCTGTGGATAGGTATTTAAACAGAAGGAGAGGAGGCAAGATGACAATGGGCGAGGGGCTGAGGCGTTGGAGGTAATGGTGGTGCATGGTGGTGCATGGTGGTGCATGGTGCGTTGCCCTCTTCCATGGATCTTCTGTGCCGCCCCAGCGACGGCCAGCGCGCCCATCGGATTGGATTGGACAGCTTAACCTCACTCAGGCTGGTGGATGGGCATTGCTAGCATAGCATAGCAGCGCATTGGCGTGGGCATTGTGCGACGGCGGACGGCGGGACTGGCTGGGGGAATCGCCTTATGGGGGGGAAGCCCGCTGACAAGGGGGGGGCCAAGAGCTCTGATCGAAGACACTGAATGCCACCCCGCAGACGCCTGTAGTTGGCTGAAGACCGCTGGGAACGGCCCACTACATGTGCAAGTCACTGTTGGCCCGATCCAAGGGCGGGAGATACATGCATGGTGCTATTGCGTCGTGATATGATTTGCGGAACTCCTCTGTAGCCGCGCGATAACTTCTGATGCTTCCCAGCAGGATCCTCAAGCCGCCAGGACCTTGCAGCTGCAATCTCTCTTGTCTGCTTCCGGGCAAGCTCTGGAGCTCGACGAGGACCTGAAGGAGCTCGAGAGGAGCCAACAGCCGCGGACAGGGCAGCTTCGCGGCCCATCTCATCAAAAGCCAGACAAACAGGAGCATGGCAGACAAAGACGGATACCGGTACCATGGGGAGCCCGAGCTGAAAGAGATGCCCATTCCATTCCGCAGTCATCCCGCTCCCAGGCTGCCAGGTCAGGGCCTCGAGTGGCAGCAAAGCGCCGCTGTTGTCTCCACTTCACCGCAACCCCCCTTAGCTGCTCTCCTCCCACTACCGAGCCTCAGCCACTTTGCTACGCAGTTCTACCATGCAGGACTCTGGACGCTGACCGACCTGCCGACAAACACGAGGCGGGCCGTTGGATCAATGCGCCGTCTCTCTGGATCCTCCGCTCTCTTAGCTGCTACCGGTAGTCCACTATATCCAACACTTCACAATGCTTACAATGTGGCTGAGCTGAAGTGCGATCCCCTTCTCGAAGCGAAGCACTCACTCGGCAAAGTGCCCGGGTGTGATGGTGTTGGTGATGGCCGATTACTCGAGCACTGCGCAGTAAGCTCTGGTCCTTTGTTTTGGCGCCTGCTTCTTTGTGCGTTCGAGGGCTGTGAGGACTAAGCTGCCGTATGTGTCTCGAACTAGACACTAGCTACCCAATGTAGGTAATAGCCTAGATCGGCCGCCGTCGTCACGGCCAGTCAAAGGCCTTTGCTCCTCCAGTACGGGCCAAGCAGCATAGCGTCGACATAGGGCTGACGTGCATCCACCCGCCGCATCGCCATGGCCGAATGGAAACCCGAGCGGCACACTGGAAGCTGACAGAAGCTCGCCGTTGTTCCAGCATTTGTTGAACAATTTTTCTCACGCCAGCTTCGTGCTCATAGTGTTCGGGTGGTTGATTGCATGTGACAGCTCCATTTCGATGTGCTTAGGCAATTGTGGTATCTCTACTGCAGGAAACGGAGGGCTAGAGGTCATGCCGCCTGAACTCCCGGGAAATGGCAACCTTTATTCTGACTTGACATCTGGAAAGATCTCCTTCAAAAAGTTCTTGGAGAAGCGCGTACATTGCTGGTACGCTTTCTCGAAGCCGTCCAACGCGCCGTAGTAGGGGTCTTGAACGATCTCCGTCTTGCCCGTCCCGGAGTACTCTCCAAACAGCTTCACCTGCGCCTTTCCGTTTGGTTTATTTCTTTGTAGTCTTTGCAAATCAGACAGGTTTGATCGGTCCATGGCGAAGATATAGTCGAAGTTGTCAAAGTCGGACAGGTGCACCTACCGACACCCATAACGTTAGCACGTGCTGCTCATTGCGACTGACAACGCGCCTTCTCTGCTTACCTTTCGAGCATGATGGACATAATCTGTTATCCCATGGTCCTCTAGTGTGCCCATGGTTCGATCATCTGGTTCTTCGCCGACATGATATGCTCCTAATTTTCACTGTCAGGACACGTGCTGCTTGTATTTGCGCAGTCCGGAACCGTACCTGTTCCGCAAGAGTCGATCTTGGAAACCAACCCCTTGTATGGCGCTTTCTTTGTCATGGACTGGAAAACGCCCTCCGCCATTGTCGAGCGGCAGACGTTCCCCAAGCAGACGAACAGGACAGAGACCGATTCCGGCATTGTGAGACAAGTATTCCGCGCGGAGCGATTTCTTTGGCTAGAATTGCCCTTTTGTGAAGAGCTCCTTGAACCAGCTTCCAGGACGTAGTTTCTGAGGGTCTGAGAATTCTTGAATCTCGGGCAGAGACAAATTCTCCCGCAATGGTGCGTCTGAGGCTCCGGGTTGCTGTTCGTTGGTGGTATTGCGAGAGCTCAACTTGAGCGCTTGACCTGGCCTGCCCCGCGATGGTTCTTGCTATCGTGGTGGGGGTACCGCTCCTTCTTATCGCCGATCTATCACGTGTAACCCGAATGATGGACACTGTCTCTGTAATCCTCCTCCAGGATAGTAAACGTTAATCACCAAAGACTATGTTCACTCCTGTAGCATCACCGACTTCTGTAAAGGTAGTAATCTATCGTCGGGGAAGTTATGATACCGTTGCTGAACCAGCACTTAACACTAGCGGGCGAGTATAGTTGTATATTGGTATATAACGATACTCAGTTATCTTGTTTTGATTAATTTGGCCTTTATAAATACAGATACAAATTACTTAATTTTATTGAAAATAGAAGAAGCCTATACCATTAGTATCCATGTGAGTCTTATTCAAATACGCAAAGCAATCTTTAGGAGTGTTACCGAGATACATTTTAGCAGACCAAATGATAATACCGCTATCTTAGGTAACTGAGCAGAAGCAACAATCGGAAGCAATCTGATTTGGTGACTCCTTTGGCACTCGACGGCTAGGCAGCTCTTCACAACAGCCTAGTAGAAGAAAAAATCACAAACACATACAGAGAAGTACGTAGAAGCCATTGCATTTTCTAAAAGAGTGACAAGAAGGAGCAGGCACAATCCATCGTCTAAAGAGTGACAAGCCAGCACAGTCCCCAACGCTGGCTACAACCAAAACTATCAGGTCATCTTCATGTTCTCTATCCCGGCTTCAAACGCAGAGAACTGATCCCGGTTCTGAGGTGCATTCTGAATATCTTGTAAGTATATCAATAAGCCATACGTCTTGCTCTTGTAGATACATACGTCCGTGGTAAATGTTACCGGCTCCATCAATCCAATAAGCGCAGTCGCCGCTAGTAAGAATAGTCTCCGTGTTCATTACAGTGCAGGCTTCATGCACAGTGACTGGAAAGCACAAGATATTGAGTTCAAACCCTCAGTGTGTTTTGTATAGAGAGGAATACTCACCTCCTCTGATGACGTAGTAGTTGTTGTTCGCAACCCAAACTCCGTTGCCATCTCGCGTCCAGGCATAAGAAACGGCGGCAAGAGAGAGGGTGGCAGCGGCAATGATCGAAGTGAAGTACATTTTGCGAATTGACTTGGTTCTTAAAAAGGAAGACGGGTTATGTTTGGTGATGATGAATTTGCAAAATGGTCTAAGAAAAGGTATTTCTGTGTCTGAAGGAGAAGCACTCGCCCATGAAGCGATGAGAGCGCCCCTTTATATAACTTCACGCCAGCTCTCAACTACCGTACTCGAAGACGTGTGAAGCTAATAAACAGAGTTTTCTATGATAGTTCTTCGGATTCACCTCGGACTTGGATATAGAATGAAGGTTTTTACTATTATTGCTTGTCTCACTCAAGCACTTGAACGATACACAAGTTCGCTTGTGTACCAGCTGTATCCGAGGTTGAAGGAGCGAATGTGAGATTTATGGATCATAGATATTCCTTCAAGAGCCTGTTAGATTAAGACACTGCCAGCAAACAGGTTGGGCCCGAGTAGAGTTACTCAAGCTTGATTGGAACGGTCCCTGAGGCAAAATATAGTACAAAGACCATTATGAAATCGAGGCCCTGAAGCCTGCCATTGGCAGTATTTGCATCAATCACAGTATAGACTCTGGTCCTAGGCTTATTACCTTCCAACATAATATTTCCTCAAATCCTTAATGTTGTTCTACGCTCGCTCTGTCAGTTGTACAGAACTTCTTAGCTTGGTGACACGGCGTTCAGCATAATCAGGCATTACGGCCAGCTACAGCCTTTGCAACATGATTCCAAGCCTATACTCGTTATGACACATATCACAAAAGCTGACGACATTGAACTAGGCAGCCATTTAGTGATGGCGACGTTCCAAAGGCTTCTGCCCTCTCCCTTGTCCAAAGGAGTTCGAACAGTGAAGGGGAGATTCCGATCATTTTTGGACAATCTTCACTAAATTCAAGAAATTACGTGGTCAAGACGCAAATTCTCAACTCCTTATTCAAAAAGTAGTTACCTAGAGGGTATGGAAGTCGGTAAGGGCATCCTATCTTGAGTTTGTGAGTACCTTCGGTTGTAACTCCAAGGTCCTACTATTAGTTGGAATAAAGATGGCGGCATTGAAGAGCAGTGAATGGGAAAACAGAAGTGAGAGGACATATATACATCAAGCGATCTAGGCATGAGATATTTGCCAAGAAGTTGACGTCAACACTAAGAATCAAAGTGTAGTATCATAGTTAAGGCTTTGTCAACTCCTCCACCAGCATAATCAATGTTAGTTCGACGGAAATATTATTCTCTCCTCACCCAGGGATTACTACCTTTTATAGAGGTTGATAGGCCTATAGTAATAAACAGAGCCTTTGAGATATTGATGAGCATTATGGCTCTCAAACATTTGGTATCTTCACCCTTCAAGAAGTATCGTTTATTACCTTGGCTGAGGAGAACATGGAATCGACTCGGGTCCTGGAAGGTACACTGTGATTGGAGGAAGTGGCCGACCTGGCTGGCGAGTTGGAGAATTTGAATCCTCATACGGGCGTCTTATAACAAGTCTTCAAGCCACGCTGTGTCGGAACGAGAAGTAAACTCCCAATGGAACACACCTGTATGGCTGCACACAATGGATTGAAAACCCTACCAATTTAGCGACCATCATCATCCTCTTCTGGATTCGAGAATCTCCTCCTTGAAAATCCCACTACGGCGTGTTTCAGCCCAGCCACTAAAGCGGCCTGCGCCTTTAACGTTAAAATTAGTCTCCCGCCATGAGGCCAGGGACCAGTGCAGGGGATCATCGCTCCCTGTTCCTATTTGCTCAGACCCTTCACTTGCCCCTGGAACTGTGCATTTCGGGAATGGTGGCGCAACTTCGATCAACAACCGTGCCGGGATTCTCTAACGTGAACCCTAATTTCTCTTTTCCTTGTACGGGCGATGATAAGCTTGATTCTTTCCACAGCAGCACCTGGCTTCATCTAAGCAAGCGTGCAGATAAGGGCGGAATTTGAGACCGCCCATGATGTGGCCGAGCCGTTTCCACAAGTTGAAAGCTGAGATATGAGAGCCAATGTGTTCCGAGACTTAGGTGAGGAATCAAGAGGCCTGACAGAACCTCACGTTTCGAGCTCAGCTGTCGTTTTACAGGACATACACCTTGGTAAGGATGACAAAAACCGCACGCTCCAGGCCGATTGGGAAGCTGGATGTTCCGCCTCGTGTTGCCAGCGTGACATGGCTTGCTCGAGATACCCGCATTGGACTGTGCAACTGCCAGGACCCTAGAAAGCTCCCCTGCCGAGAACCATCCTGACAGGAATCAGGGACGTGAGATCCCAATACAGAAAGGTATAGACTAGTTAGTTATCAGTCGCTCTCTTCCCTCATAGTGATCATCTTGTTTCTTCCATATACTCTCTCTTGCACTGTTCCTTTCAAGCTCTGTTTTCTCTTTAAACCTCCAATTCGGTACACTCTTTGACTACTACGTCGTTTCCTGATACTGTACACCTTCCGTCACAATGCAATTCAAGTCCATTATCCTCTCTGCTTTCCTCGGCTTCGGCCTCGTCGCCGCGGACGAGACTGAGATCCCGGGTTTGGTAGCCCAGCTGCCCAGCTGCGGTATGCAGTGCCTCCTTACTGCAGTATCCGCGACTTCTTGCGGGATCACGGATTATGAGTGCCAATGTGCCAACACGGCTGTGATAACCTCTGCCGTCGACCCTTGCCTCAAGACGAACTGCGATGCCGATGAGGTCACAAGTGAGTGACAGGCAACATTGAATGGATACCGAATCAGAAAGCTAATCAAGAATCAACTACAGAGGTTCAGAGCATATCTGCCCAGATCTGCCAGGCTCTTGGGGCTTCTACCAGCGCTACGGGCTCGACTGGCGTCCTCACCACCGCTCCCACCTCTACCACCGGCTCTTCAGGCAGCTCGACCTCAAGCACCGGCACTGCTTCTGCCGCGACCGTGAGCCCCAACGCTGCTGGAAAGATTGGCGCTCTCCCCTGGATGGGTACGGCGGCCCTGCTTGGTGCTTTCGCACTATGAGCAGAGCGCGATACACAGTGTCATGGGGGCATGGCCCCAGACGAGTTTGATTCTGGCGACGTCAGACTGTAAATGTATCAATTGCTTTAAAACTGTAACAGATAGCAGATTGCCAGAAGTGGCAAGCCAATATGAGCGATACCCAAGCCTTATCTATGCGTCTAAAAGTTCATATACCAACACTCGCCGTGAGACAGTTGTCTTTGTAGAATGTCCCACTTCTACTTCTAGATCTATGTATTGTCGGAATTCCTTTATTAGCCAGGGCTAAATCGGCCCAAGGCTCCGTCCTCGCCGCCCTCAAAGAGGCCGTTGGTGCTGTCCAACGCGGCGAAATGCTCCGCAAACTCCATGCCCTTGCGGCGCTCCGACTCTACTTTCTTCCAATCCCACTCACTCTCCGCCGTGATCTCGCCCAGCTCATCCGGCATGCCAACCTCGGCCTCGCCGCCTCTCCAGCCGGCGCCGGGTCGCGGGGGCAAAAGACCGCTAGCATCGAGGACGATGGCGGGATGGACGGTGAAGCGGCCGAGCTTGAAGACGTACTTGCTGACCGCGGTGGCGATCACGTACTTCTGGAAGTCGGCCTCCTGGTCCTTCGGGCGGAGCCTCCCATAGCTCTTGTCGTCCCACTGCGTCGGCTTGACCTTGCCCTTGATCACGAAGTGCGTGACGAGATACAGCCACTTGCGATCCCAGGCCAGCACGCGTGTCCACATCTCGAACCCCTGGTATGAGCCGAGCTCTTTCTTGAAGCTGCAGAACACGGCGCCCAACCCCATGCCGAAGCCACCTTTGATCAGATTGCCCTGCTTGTCATGCACGAGCTTCGTCTTGGCGTTCTCGCTGATCGCCTTGATTCCGGGGCGCATGAGGTGCATGACCAGGTGCGAACGGGACACGTCCAGGTCGGCAAAATATGTCGAGTTGGACTTGTGGAAGTTGTAGTCGGTCTCGAGCAGGTTGGTGTGCGACTTGGTGATCGAGTAGTGGAACAAGGAGCGCGGCGTCAGGCGCTTGGGTCGGATGGCGACGTGTCGTATCACAGCGCCGAAGACACGGGCCTAGAAAGGAATAATATGGTCAGCACTGCAGTGGAATATCACGAGCATCGAAGCGGCTTACCGTCCATGCTAAGGGCATCGTCTTGTAGTTTATCAACACAAAGAACAACAGCAGGATCCGGCTGAGCCTCCCGGGTCCGGTGAAGAAATTCGTCATCACGGACGTCCAATTGATGTGAAGCATCGAGTGGCCCGCGTATCCAACGCCAACGACACCGAGAGGGACGAAGACGGGGAGGATGAGCGCCGCCCCGCCAACAGCACCCGCTGAAGCCATGCTGGTAGAAAATCTAATGAAGAATCCGATGGGTCCCAAAGCAGAGATCTCTATAGAGTTATCGGAGGTTTGAGACTGTTGTCGCGATCTCGAGTCTACCTTCCGGACAAGCCGCACTCTGCCCCGTCGAAGAAATTAGTTGAGAGGAACGCCAGATGAGACCGTGCCGCGCTATCTAAGGAATTAATGCTTTGAAGGAAGGCATGTAGGCTTATCACGGTGCCCCGCTGACTGTAATCATGTCGAGTGAGAGAATTACTTGAGACTCGATAGGGCCTCGACGCCGAGCGCGGACTACCTCACTTCAGCGAATCCTCCGAATTAAGTCTGAAGATGTTACCTGCCAAGGGTGGACGCTTGCAGCTGACGACCCTCGTCCGCTTGAATCCGTCAGCACCACTGGGCCAATCGCTGTGGCGCTGAGCACCCACTAGGTTACCTACCTAGGTAGGTAGGATCTGCACGTCCTTCAACTAACATCCGTCCCGAGGCTTGAGTTTCTTTCAACTACTCCTCCGTCAGGATGATAAACATTATTTCCTTAAAGGTAGAGGTGATAGATGTTCAGAGTCTTTATACTCATTGGGATCTAGTAGATTCTGTTTATTACTATGCCTACCAAGTTCTGAACATGTACCAATGCTGCTTACCCTGGTCGAGGAGAATACTCTCACACCGACCGACAGAGTCAATCAATGGCTTCAAGAGCCAGTAAATCGAACCTGCTTGCACCTTTCATTGCAATGATTGAAAATATGTGTGTCTAATTTGACGGGCTGTCATCGTCATTATCATTCTTATCTACCTGGTGGCATTGTAACAACTCTCGCACTTGGCGGCAAGCTAGTAGCGAAATGAAGTCAGACGTCAAACACCTTACTTCACTCATGAGGTTAGGCTAGGCTATGACATGACACAACCTATGTGCAATAGTGAGCAGTCAGCATTGCTAAGATCATGTAGACTCTTGGCTACACATTAGGTACATGACTCCTCCTGATGCATACCTATCGCTCCAGCGGTCCAGTTATGGTTTCGGTGTATGGTTGTGTGTCAACCTGGAATTTCTCGTACACCTGTGAGGAGTTTCTCATTCTCCAATTTACCTCAAGGAGACATCCAACATTTTAATGCACATGAATGTCAATCCACTCCTCAAGAGCAAATGATTTGCAGCATTCATCACCGACACGAAGCACTGCGAGGTTGCAGAAGATACTACTATCATACATACCACCCCACGTTCTGGCCATTGTCAATGCGGCGTTTTTGGGCGTGATCGTAATTTCCTCGATCAGTTTGCAGACAGATGCGATTAGATTAGACCACGTTTCATAATTCCATCTTTGGCAGGATCGCATCGTTCCACAGGAGGTTCTCTGCTTAACTGTATCGAGGAGATCAGATATAACTTACGCTTGAGAAAAAGCCGGATAAACGGCCACTCAAAGCCGTAGACCTCAACAGATTGCTCATGATAGACTATAGCCATGAATAGATCCTTGACGGCAGCAGACTCGTCGGCTCCTCTTCGAAGGAGGTCATACGGAGGCCGAGAGAGGAGGAAATTGCTTCTAAAGATGCTCGGATCAAGATCGGTTTTATCACCTTCGAGATCATATTCCTTGATTGTGATGATGTCGTTGTTAGCACGGAACCTCTCCACCCTGGTGTAGTACAGCGTCTTCCAGAACAAGTCGCTCAAGGACTTGAGGACCGACATCGCTCGACCAATATCTCTTCTCGAGATACATACCATGGTATGCTGTTCTCTGTGGACCTTCTGGCAGGTGAGGCCACAGTAATAGACAGCCAGGAAGCCACATTCTTCCACGAAGCACTCCTCACACCGCAGCTTTGCGTCACACTGTCCGCAGTGGGGACAGATTCATTGTAAGGAGGTAACATGTTTTGGAAGGATCGCATATTGATCCGGCAGCGGCACCGTCAGTAGAGTTGGACCAAATGGATATTCGTGATCGCGTCTTCCGTGAAGGATCCACGCAGCGTATCGCAAGTATCGGTTCTTCTTGCTACGATTGAGGGAGTTAGGGGGTGGGCGTCCCTCTTGGTAAGCCAAGACTCCAAGGCCGAGGAGGAAGATGTTGTCGCAGCCGGAGCAACTGCCCATGAGCGACTTGTCCAAAGCCTCTTTTGCAAGCTCGTAGATGGATTCGCCACCAGGATCCGCGAATAACCTGAGCGAGGTAAATTCTTGAACGAACTCGCTCAACTGAGACTCGAAGGTCTCAGGCCGGCATCCGCCTGTGATGCCGGGCCGTATAACTTTATGGTAGTTCTCCGGCTCCGGTAGGGCATCGAAGAGGCGTCTAACTGGATCTTCAGTAGATGAAGACATATTGCAATGTCTGTCCGGAGAAGGTTTGGTAGAAGGATCGTCGGTGAGAAAGAAGTATGGTGCTGCTCGAATTTGAAGGAGAAAAACCTAGGCAGCCAAGTTCTTCGCTTTTTCCAAATGACAAAACAAACAACGATAAACTTTCGAGAATACTGAAAATGAGCACATGGCCTTTTTGGTTGTGGCCAGTTAATTGAGACCGGCCGTTTGTTGTGTGTTGACAAGCGAGAAGCAAACGAAACGTCCAGGATATGGCCTCTTACATATCTGCCGCCCCAGATTGAGGAGAGCGATTAACAGTACGTAACAAAAGGTCTAGTCGATGGCCTCAATCATCATCCGTGATGTTGCAATCAAAGTGCACAGGTTAAATGTGCTATCGATAGAAGTAATCCTCGCATTCTCCATTCAGTTTCCAACCTGTCTGATATATCTATACGTATAGCAATCACGCTTTTGCAAAGAGCATTTAAACCCAGCAGGTATTATCCTTCCTTCTTCTTGAGCTACATCGCAGCACTGCTTTTCCACGCAATAGATTTGCTGCAGCGTCAATGCTTCCTTTTGGCGTGAATATTACATGCTATTAATCGTGTTGTCCATGTGCAGCCAGAACGATTCACTACATGAGTTTTACACTGCCCTGTAGGAATCATGGAAATGAAACTATTATCTGATCTTAGTTGAAATATATAGCAGAAATCACATGTTCTGTCATGTTCTGAGGTACCTGATCGCGCTTTTGTATCACAATGTAACATATGGGTGTATTGATCCATCATGGTTAGGTAGTTGATGATAAGAAATCGAATCATCATCTATAAGTGAGGCTTATGAATTTGAATGATTTCAGAGATTTGGAGCCCCTGAGACTTGCATGTGTTTATCCTAGATAGTCTACGCTGCGAAGGTAACTCCTCCGCCAGGGTAATAAACGTTACTTCCCCAATAGCCACAGTACTTGACGACGGGAGTACCTAGGAATGAGGCTCAAAGAATCTGTTTATAACTATGGCCCCACCGACATCTCTTACCATGTAAGATAATGATCTCTGGTTGAAGAACCTGTGGTGACCTTGTCGAACTGATTTTACTACCCTGGTGGACTTGTAAGTGCCAATGGGCTGTTTACAACCAATTGGAGACGAATTTCGCCAGCCGGCTAGCAGCGGCTCCCATAGCATAGCAGAGGCCAATGTTAAGGTAGTTTCTCGCATGGTCTCTGAAGACGACGGCCAGGCGTCCGTCATCAGCTTCGGGCGAGCCCCTAGTGGCTGACGGACCCACTGGAGTTGTATCTGCCTTCTGTAGACACAAGTGTTAGGGAGTTGCCTGCCAGTCCCTAGCTTATTAGCTGGGCGGCAGGTGAGAGTGCAAGAATTTCAGGTTGCCAAAAGAAAGACACACAACTGGCGGGCGGCTGCCTTTCTACCATCCACAAGCCACAAGCTGCAGCAAGCTCCAGAGTCTCCAATGCCCCGCACTTCACCATCCTCGCTCCTCTTGCGACCTGCCCGATTGATTGTGCGATCCGTCTCACGCTCACACGATCATCTGCTGCCAATCTCCTATAAAGCCTCCTTCAGCACCAGAGCTAGCCCTAGAGTCAGAGACGGAAGACCTAGAGCTTCTCCCACTCAACTGCCTCCAGCACACCGCCGAACGTACCTCAACGAGTCGATTCGAGCACACCAAGCCCGCAAAATGGCCCCGCAACTCGACGGCTTCTTCTCGCAGGTCGACACCCTGTCGTCGCACTTCATCGACCGCCTCGCCAAGGCCGTCGCCATCCCCTCCATCTCCGCCGATGAGGCCCGCCGCCCAGACGTCGTACGCATGGCGCACTTCCTCGAGGCCGAGCTGAAGAGTCTCGGCGCGGAGGTCGAGCTGCGGCCCCTCGGCAAGCAGCCCGGCCACGAGCACCTGGAGCTGCCGCCCGTGGTCCTCGCCAGATACGGCAACGACAAGAACAAGAGGACGATCCTGGTGTATGGTCACTACGATGTTCAGCCTGCGGAGAAGACCGACGGCTGGGCTACGGAGCCCTTCACTCTCACAGTCGCGGAGGACGGCCGGATGCTGGGTCGTGGTAGCACAGATGACAAGGGACCCGTGCTGGGTTGGTTGAACGCTATCGAGGCTCACCAGAAGGCTGGTGTTGACTTTCCCGTCAACCTGCTGATGTGCTTTGAGGGTATGGAGGAATATGGCAGTGAGGGTCTCGACGATCTGATCGAGGCGGAGGCCAAGAAGTTCTTCAAGGATGCGGAGGCTGTCTGTATCTCTGACAACTACTGGCTGGGCACCGAGAAGCCGTGCCTGACCTACGGCCTGCGTGGGTGCAACTATTACTCCGTAGAGATTTCAGGACCGGGTGCGGATCTGCACAGCGGTGTGTTCGGCGGCACCGCTCAGGAGCCCATGACCGATCTGGTGCGGGTGCTGGCTACGCTGGTCGACACGCACGGCAAGATCCTCATTCCCGGCATCAACGAGCAGGTGGCCGCCGTCACAAAGGACGAGGAGTCTCTGTACGACGGCATCTCCTTCACTATGGAGACCCTGCACGAGTCTCTGGGCAGCAAGACCACCATCTTCGAGGACAAGAAGCCGACGCTGATGGCCCGCTGGCGGTACCCGTCCCTCTCCGTCCACGGCGTCGAGGGCGCCTTCTCCGCGCCAGGTGCCAAGACCGTCATCCCCGCCAAGGTCATTGGCAAGTTCAGCATCCGGACGGTGCCGGATATGGACATCGAGCAGACCAACGAGGCCGTGTATAAGTACATCAAGGAGCAGTTCGCCAAGCTGGGCAGCAAGAACACCCTGAATGTGTACTGCCAGCATGCCGGTAAGTGGTGGGTTGCCAGCCCCAACCACTGGAACTTCACGGCCGCCGCAAAAGCCGTGGAGCGGGTATGGGGTGTCCAGCCTGACTTCACAAGAGAGGGCGGAAGGTAAGCTGATCTACCACTTGTTGAAATCCTAGTGGACATGAACGTAACTAATCCTACTCCTAGTATCCCCGTCACTCTCACCTTCGAGCAGGCAACTGGCAAGAACGTGCTCTTGCTACCGATGGGAAGCTCGACCGACGGCGCACACTCCATTAATGAAAAGCTTGACAAGAAGAATTACATCGAGGGCATCAAGCTCCTCGGTGCGTATCTGCACTACGTGGCTGTTGAGCCAACTTCATAGATAACACACATCAAACCTTTAATCTGGGAATTAGGAGTATGGTAAAACTGTCATGCCATCCTGTTTAATACCTGGGACATGCCCGGTAATGTGATGCCGGTTGCGTGGCTCAAGCCATCCACATGTTAAGACGTCAGCAGCCTCATATTTGTATTCCGAGGAAACTTTGGTAGATGAAGTACGCGCGGCCGAATGAAGAGTCGTCTTAAAGAAAGCTAAGTCATTATAAGAGAGTGGTATCATTGTGGTATCTATCCATAGTGTAAAGCAAGTCCGTCCCAGTCATGCATAGCAGTTTGCCTCATGTAATCCATCCTGAGTGAGACTATAGGGGTATTATTCTCGGTAAGTTCCCATTCTTCCACCCGTGGTATCATGTATGTATGCAGTGTGTCCAATGTCGATATGTGTGCATCCACACCCGCCATTCTAATCAGTAGGGTATTAGACAAAAGGAGAGGCCGAGTCTGTAGGAAAGCAAGCCAAAAACGCCCCTGAACGTCAAAACAAATGCAAATGAACACCCCATCCGTGATGTATGCTTAGACGGCCACCTTCTTCCGCGATCCAACCTTGCGGCTCCGCCTCTTGGCCACCACCTCGGCATCCCAAGTGCCGGCAAAGATGTCCTCGCACTCATCCTCGTCCTCCGAGTCGAACACAACCGGCTCGTCCGCGTCCTCGTCCTCCTCCAGCACCTCCTCGATGCTGCCAGCGCTCACCCTCCGCTCACCAGCAGCTCGCCTCCTCTGCGCCGCCGCACCTCCCGTCTCGGCGTCATAGAAATGCGCAGAGGTGAGCTCGTCGCCGTCCCCGGCGGCGGCCGGCACGTCCTCCCAGCTGCGGTGGGCGACGACGCGCTGCGTCTCGAGGATGAACTTGCCGACCTTGTACTTCTGCGCCTGCTCGCGGGCGTCGACGTACTTCCAGCCCAGCTTGGCGCCGCACACGACGCAGTGGATGTCGGCGACGACGTGCGCGCCCGTCACCAGCTGGCGGTTCTCCGGCCGGCCGACCCTGACGTTGATCAGGTTGCCGCTGTCCCTCTCCCTCTCCCTCTCCTTCTCCTTGGAGGCGAGGGGCGACGCTGCGGCGGTCGGCGACGACGGGCACGACGGCGTGGCGGTGGCCAGGGGCGCCGAGACGAGGTATGCGCGGCCGTGGCGCCCCGTGAAGCCCTTGGAGACGATCTGTGCGCCGAAGGCAACGTCGGTGGAGCAGGTGTTGCACCGGAGGGTGTCTGGGGCTGTGCGGGCGAGGCGGTCACGTTCAAAGGAGGAGGGAGTGAAGGTGGCAGCAGATGAGAACGTGAACGAGGCTGGACTAGTTGACGAAATCGGAGAGGATCCAAGCGTACTGTCGTTAATAGACGACCCTGGAGAGCTGCTCAGAGACGGCGGACTGGACGCAGAGACGACCGAGGAGTGTCTGGAGGTTGTAGATGCCGTAGACACCGCAGATGTCGAAGGCTGGCGTCGTCTGAATGGAATCTTGAGACTGGGGAGGAGGAACAGCGGGAACTGAGGGGTGGAAACGGCCCTTGAGCCCGAGTCGCCAAACATGGTGATCGGTGATCCTGATCGGAGCAATGGAGCTTTGGAGTCGGAATGGTACCACAGAGAGGGCAGTATCAAATTGTCTAATACGACAGGACAAGTTCCGGAGGAGATGCCGAAGCACAAAGTAAACATGCCCTTGCGGGCTTCAGGTCATCGAATATTCCAGGAAGGGTTTTTTTCTTCTACCTCGGAGAGATCGGAATAGAGAGAGGCTTGTATTGGGTGCGTGATGAGTGATGATCGCGGGACAGGAGGGGGGCATTTAGGTTTGCGTGTGTCAGGCTCAGGTATAAGAAAGATGTCACTAAAGCGTCCGACCCCGCAGCAGCAACCCAGGACCAGATGCAGGGAACGGATTCATGTAAGACAAAATCACGGGAGGGGGGGTTCAGTCATATCATATCATGGGATCAGTTCTCTGACCATCTCACATCCACTTGATTGGGGAATCTTATAGCAAACGGAGTGCCGCTTATCGCGACTTTCTACCATCCCCTAGGTAGCTCACTATCATGTTTATCGATAACGCCCGCACGCTGTCAAAAGAGGGGCAGCTCTGCCAAATTTGGAGTTCTAGCGGGATCTTGCGGCAAGTCGGTTCTGTTAGTCAGTGGGCTCTTCCCACTTCTGCCGGATCGACTCGCCCGAGAATGTGTTGGCTGGAAGCAGTAGCCGGCTCTTCGTCCATAGCATTTTGAAGAGGTCTTTGGGAGAGAGAGAGAGAGATTACAAGACAGGATGGGATAATCTTTCAAGGAAATATGACTATGCTGCCGGCATGTGATGTTCAAAGTCGAGATGCCGCAGCTGCAGTCTACACGCAGTAGGTATATCTGGTAGTCACGATCATGCGTGGGCAATGGGGAGTTGCTTGTTGCTTGGCTTCGCTTAGCGCTCTGCAGCCACTTGACCGGACATGCCTCAATCTTCTAAGTGCCGAGAATGCGCTGGGTTGGGTGAAGAACGGAGGCGACGGAAAGCGATTCTACATGATCCGCGCGCTGGCATACACTTGAAGCATGCGTGATACTTGCCTATTGCTAACTATGTAGTTCCTCGCAAATCACCGTATTTTAACTCTGTGTCTGCCACTGGTACTCTCTGCCATTATTATTTCCATGATACCCCTTCTGAATTGCTGGAAGCCCAAGGTTGTCACTTGGAATGAGCGGTCAAACAAGTCCTAGCTTTGTAGATTAGATATTGAGTTGCAAGGGCTCTTATGTCTCTTAATGTTAGCATTTGCTCCACAAGAAACCTGAACTTATCAGTATTTAGCCATTGTGGTTACATTGACCAGCCACAATGGAATTTGTCAAATTCTGGATCTGGTTACATACAGTAGATGAACATTGATTGGATAGTGGCAGGTTTGTGATGATGTGCTCCGGAAACCCTGATCAACTCGTTGGCGATTACGGTGATTCCACTGCTGCTGCTCAAAGGGTCTGGCCAAGCCGTGGGAAAGCAGGTCGACGGAAATGGGACGGCTCAGCGGGCCAATCTGAGCGCTGTTGGGTGCGCCACGTGATGGATTTGCGGCAACTTGGAGCAGTGGGGTGGATTTTTAGTGGCTGAGACCGCCAAACCCAAGGGTCTTCCAAGTTCCAAGGGCCCAAAGTGCCTGACAATTGCGGATTGGAGGTGTGTGCAGAGAAATTTCTAGCAGGTGGCTCCTCAGTCAGTCTTTCCGTTGGAGTCAAATCCACATCCCCCCGTCCGTCCTTGCCGCCTCCCCTCCCACGCAGATTATTTAGTACTAGCAAACGACCTCGCCTCCTCTCCTCCTCTCCTCCCTTTCCCAACTCCAACCGACTGACCGCTTCACCGAACAACACGCCGCCTCGCCAGATCAATCGCCCGATTTCCCTCACCGACGGAGTCGCCAATACACAAGAATACATACACGTCTCACGACTACTGCGTCAATCTCGCCGAGTTTCGTTCAGAATCTCAATTGCACATCTCAAAGCCGGCTTTTTTCGCTCTTCCCCGCTTCTCGACGACTCGCAGCCAAACTCAGGCCGCTTCAACCCCAAGAGAAACCCGAGCCGATCCAGTCTCCCAAAGTGGCACGCATAAAACAGTCGTCATGGCGCCAATCAAAACATTAAGTAATAATTACAGTAGTAGTAATTATGGCGAGAACGTCGCCCGCCAGGCCAACGTCCTCGCCAGCTGCTACCTCGTCGACTCCGCTGGCTCCCTAAAGGGCCTCCACTACTGCACTACCGGCGTCACAGGTACGTGTAATGTCTCCTGATTCTCTTATCTTTTCCTCTTAGCTATCCCCTAATCTGCTCGTCTTCTCCCTCTTGAGTCCCAGTGCTAACATCCATGCGCTTCTCCAGGGGCAGAGTGGTATTCCTGAGGTCCCTTCCTCAGGACTCCCTTCGCCGCCATCAAGCCCCCCCCTCGCGGCCATCACCTCGTCCAACGAGCTCGCTCTGACGCCCAAGGCCAGCAACAGCCACAAGCGCCAGTCCACCAGCAGCCGTAGCCGACGAGGGGGGGCAACATTCCGTATCAGGGAAGAATGTGAGAGATTCTTTTGCGAGACCATGAGGGCCGTGTTCCTGGGTGAGAGGAGCCCGGCCACTCGCGTCTCCGGCCTGACGGGTGTTTATCACAACGCAGCAGCACCGGCCCGACCCAATGGCAATGGGAACGGGTACTTTGCTTCGCACATCAACAACAATGGCCAGCTCTGCACGCCGCCTGACGAGTCCCCGCTGGGAAGCGGCCGAGCCGTCGGTGGTGGCATGCCTCTGGGCTGTGCCGACGTCGCCGCCTGGCTTGAGATCTGGGACTACGCCGGCGGAGCGTCCTTCCGCGCATTCATAGCGGAGGACCCCTCCGCGCCAGGCGAAAAGGCCCTGTTCGCTTTCTTCGACCAGGGCGTGGTCGGCCGCGATCTCAAGCAGGCGCTCGTGGCGCTCATCGAGCTGGCTGAGACGCCGCTCGGCTGCTCGCAGCTGGTCATTTGCATCGACCGGGCCATCGTCGACGAGGAAGCCCAGTCGCTGACAAAGGGCCTGCAGTGGGCGGGCTTCTCGCTCACCACCCTGGACCACTGGGTTCCCCGTGGATTGGACGTGACCAGTGACAGCTGGCTTTTCATGGGCATGGAGGTTTAAGCACTAGGAGTTCTTTTCATCAACGTTCAGGGTTTCATACATCGTCGGTTCTTTCACTATTTCCTCTTCAAAATGGCATTCTTCGACAGTCATAGGGAGGTTTGGTTTTGCGGCTGCTTTCTGCTTTAAAAAGTCCTGCGCGGATTTCCGAGGACATGGCATCAATGGGTGAAAATGCACGACGGGACCCAATGCGCATTTCATTAAATAGGTAGTTTCCCAACAAATTCAAATGGTATCAGGTCTATTTTCTATCTGGTCACAGATCCCCTTCAAATTGCCGTACTACGAGCCCCTTTTCTGATAGGTAGTCCTTGACTTGCTTCACTGTATACTCGCCCCTGTGGAACATGCCAGCCCCCAACGCAGCGTCCGTTGGCGTCTTGTCAAATACTTCCTCGAAGTGGCCCGGGTTTCCGGCGCCGCTCGAGGCTATCACGGGAATCTTGATCGCGCTCTTGACCTGGTTGATCAGCTCCAGGTCGAACCCACTGTTGGTGCCGTCCTTGTCTATGCAGTTGAGCAGGATCTCGCCCGTGCCCATGGCCTCCACGGCCTGCACCAGCTCCACGACGTCCATGTCTCTCGTCTCCCTTCCGCCCTTGATCGTGCACGCATACCAGCAGTACTCCTCGCCCTTGGGCCCGGGGAAGCTGGTCTTGACGGTGCTGTGGCGCGTCGCGTCCGCCTTGGGCACGTACACGCGCTTGGGGTCGACGCTCACGACGACGGCCTGGTTGCCGTACGCCTTGGAGATCTGCTCGATGGCCGTGTTGCCGAACAGCCGGCGGCCGTTGGCGTAGTACTCCTCGGCGGCGAGGACGGCGTCGGAGCCGATGCTGACCTTGTCGGCGCCGCTCTTGAAGTACATGGTGGCAATGTCGAGCGCCGAGACCTTGGTGCCGTCGACGTCGACCGTGTCGCGGATGCCGCCGCCGATGGTCAGCGGCACAAACACCGTCTGCGAGGTCCGGCGCAGGATCTCGAGCATGGGCAGGTCCGCCACCGGGCAGTCGCGGAAGCTCGTGATGTTCAGGAAGGTCACCTCGTCGGCGCCCTGCTCGTAGTACTTGCGCGCCATCTCGACCGGCTTGCCCAGGTTGCGGACGTTCTTGGTCCCTGACTTTTCGCGGACGTCGTACTGGTCGCCCTTGGTGACGACAAGGTCACCTTGGTCGTTCGTCCTCACATCCAGACACGCTATGACTCTCCGTGTGAGGCCCTCCGAGACGCCGTGGGCCGGCGCGCCGTTTGATCCCGTCGCAGGAAGTGTGCTGCCGACAGCCTCTGCTCCTTCGCCGGTAAGGAAGGCCTTGATCACCCGCAGTCCAGCGACGCCGCTCTTCTCCGGGTGGAATTGTGTAGCGAGGATATTTCCCTTGGCTACAGCGCCGACAAATGTCTCATTGCCGTAAGTGGCTGTCGCCACGGACCATCCTTGACTTTCTAGCTCTCCTTTTGTATATGGGTATTTGTAGCTGTGGACGTAGTAGTATTTCGAACTCGGCCTTAAATCGTACAGCGCCAGCCCGGAGGTATTTGCGTTATTCCAGCCGATGTGTGGCACGGACTTGTCGGTGTCGTCGAAGCGGTTGAGGGATGCCTTGATCACTCCAAGTCCTGGACAGTCCGGATCTTCAACGGAGCCTTCGAACAGGGCCTGGAGGCCGACACAGATGCCCATAAAGGGCTTGCCGGACTCGATGTGCGCGAGGATGGCGGGCAGGTACCCGGCAGAGGCCAATTGGGACAGGCAGTGGCCAAAGTGGCCGACACCAGGGAGGATCAGCTTCTGTGAAGTCGGTGAGCAATCAAGTCTTTTCAGATTGGAGGGTGAGTGCAGATCAAACCTCTGCATTTGCGACCTCTTCAGGCGTCTTGACCCAGGCCACCTCGTAGCCGACTTTCTCGATGGCATTGACCAGGCTGCGCACGTTGCCGGCGACATAGTCGAGTAGGTGAACCGTCGGCATCTTCACCTGTCCAATATGCAATCTGAAGAGTCAATATCTACAAAAAGCATGAGGTGTGGCCGGCTGGCGAAGAGAAGTCTTTTGTCCGATCGAAGCTGTGAGTCAAGAAGATTTGCGCAGGGGCCGCGATACCGCAGTGTAGTCACTGATGGAGGGGCAACCTGCAGCAGGGACAGGGGCTCTGTGCTGCCCCGCGGTGGGCATTTTGCCGCTAGTGACCGCTAAAATGTGCAATTTCCGGGCTGCTGGGACTCGAGAGGCTGATGGAACGTGTTTACCTTGATTCAACCTCCGCAAATCTATCTACCTAGATATTTGGGATAAAATCGCCCTTTTTTCATCTACGGGATTTCTAGAAGCTAGTCTATTCAACGCCAACATACCATCTTACCCCTCGATGTATGCGACCAGCCTGCGCGACCGAATCCTCAGCCGCCCCAATGGATAGCTCCCAGCCCACCGCCGTTAAAGGCCCCTTGGTCCCCCCCACGCTGGCAACAGCAGCCGCAGCCGTGCCCGAATCTTCACCGTCGAATGGCAAGACTGCCGAGGTTCTAGACGATGACTCGGAATGGGAATATGAGTATTCTACCACGGAGACCGAGGTCTGTAGCTTACTTGACAGCGACTCTGGGCAAATGCTGACTGCCTCTAGACCTACTATCTCACAGTCGACATGTCCCACAAGGACCTGGTTAAGACACCAGATTACTACGTCATGAACACTCGAGGTGGCTACAGAGTCTGGATGAACCCACTCTTCCAACAGGACGCAAAGTCGAC